GTACCCTTGGGTTCTGTAGCCTTGCGTTCTGTAGTCTTTGGTTCTGTAGTCTTGGGTTTAGTAGTCTTGGGTTTTGTAGCCTTGCGTTCTGTAGTCTTGGGTTTGTAGTCTTGTGTATTGTAGCCTTGGGTTCTGTACTCTTGGGTTCTGTAGTCTTGGTTTTTGTAGCCTTGGGTTCTGTAGCCTTGCGTTCTGTAGTCTTGGGTTTTGTAGTCGTGGGTTCTGTATCCTTGGGTTTTTCATCCTTGGGGTTTTGTTGGATATAGCCGCCATCTCAGCACTAGCAATCGTTCATTGGCGTTTCTGTGACCACGCATGGGAGAATGCATACTTAAATGGTTTGAGAGATCGAACATTCCACTTCACGACCACTGTTCAGCGGGTGCGTTACACCAAGTCACTACAATGTACACATGTCCTGTACTCTAGTTTTTATCCCCTCTTACACTCAGGTGCCAAGGTGGTCAGTGGCGTAGACCATGCTACCACGACCTGTTATCTATCGTCTCTCGCGACGACTCAGACCCATCACGACAGTTTGTGTATACGGGGGTATCTTTTACCTACTTTATTTTTGTATCACATTTGCCTGCATACCATGTGTCTATACGCAAGACATTCACCTCCCTCTCCTGCCATCCCTTGCCAATCATGTGCACCACAGAGCATACCATGTGTATATAAATAAGACATTCACCTCCCACTCCTACCATCCCTTGCCAATCATGTACACCACAGAGTCTGGTGATGTCGATGAACAATCTGTCCACACTCCCGCGAGAGTTCCAACGCTTGGTCAATCTCAGGGGTACGTGCGTGAGTTTTATCCCTTTGCAAAACAAACCATTACAAACAAAAAAAAACGCATCAGAAAATAAAAAAGGCTTGCATTTACTGCTGCCATCGTGTCTTGTGTGCTGTGTGCGGCTACAGCCCCCCATACCTGTATGGATATGCTCAGTTCATATAGGGCTGTGATGAAGCTCAGCCGCGTAGCATAGGTTTCTGTGCTCTGTTTCCTAGTTAACGCCTTAGCTGGCCTGCTTGCTTACGTACGTGGCTGGTGCTAGTCTATCACACCTGTAGGGTGACACTACGTTCAGTACATCCGTAAGACCACATATCATTGTTACGCTCATATCAGATTGGCGTGTTGTCATGTGTTCACTCAAAGCACACGCACCCCGTCTCTGACCCAGCTTTGTATGTACTGTGTAGTCCTCATTTGTATGTACTGTATAGTCCTCATTTGTATGTACTGTATAGTCCTCATTTGTATGTACTGTATAGTCCTCATTTGTATGTACTGTATAGTCCTCATATGCTCACACCCATACCTTCACCACATCATCCGGCAGTTTTGAATGTGTCCTTCAACAAGTTCACAGAGATCCCCGAATGCGTGTACCAGCTGAGCAGGGTATGTCCGCCCCGCCCTACACCACCGGGGTGTGGGGGTGTATTGGATTCTACTCAGTCTCTCTGTGCAACTGCCCTTTTCTATCATGCCCTGAGGCTTAGATATATCACCTATAGGCGCATGGGTGTAGGACCGATAGTCTTAACTCATGCGTTTTAGGACCGATAGTCCTAACACATGTGTTTTAGGTCCGTTTGTCCTAACTCATGCGTTTTAGGTCCGTTAGTCCTAACTCATGTGTTTTAGGTCCGATAGTCCTAACTCGTGCACCCACATATATACTTGTACACGTGCACATGGCTGGGATCCGTCTCGTGACTGGCACAAGCCCTGACACATCTGGTCAGGGTGTACGTGCTATCTGTAGCCTCCTAGTCAGGGTGTACGTGCTCTCTGTAGCCTCCTAGTCAGGGTGTACGTGCTCTCTGTAGCCTCCTAGTCAGGGTGTACGTGCTCTCTGTAGCCTCCTAGTCA